ATCTGCTGTCACATTCTATGTTTCTAGTTCCCTGCTGTCCCGCTTTTGGGGACATTAGGGAACTGTCCGCAATAATCATAGCATGAGGGCATCTTTATACACTTTGAGACAGCCTGTAATATAGATGAAAAACATTAGTGTGTTACTTTTACTTCCTTTTATATATTGTTTCTAATAATACGAATGATTCCTTTTATCCTTGGACTTTATTTTTAAAAAAGGCAAGTAGATGAGGTACTATACATCAGATTGTTCAGTGAGTACAGAAGTCAAGAGACAATAACATTGTACACAGTGCCGTACACATGACCCATGGGGCCCCGGTGCAAAGATTGATCCGTGGGCCCCCCCCCACGCTTACTTGGCGCGGGTCGGGGTCGCAACACATGGTGGCGGGCACCTGGTTGCAGGGGTTGCAGGGCTGCGACCCCGCGACCGCGGTATTCACACACACACTTAAAGGACCACTACAGACACCCAGATCACATCACCTCAATGAAGTGGTCTGGGTGCCAGGTCCCTCTAGTTTTAACCCTGCAGCTGAAAACATAGCAGTTTCAGAGAAACGGTTATGTTTCACTGAGGGTTAATCCAGCCTCTGGTGGCTGTCTCATTGACAGCTGCTAGAGGAGCTTCCACGATTCCACTGAACGTCCATAGGAAAGCATTGAGTAATGCTTTCCTATGGGTGGTTTAAATGCGCGCGCGCGCCTCTTGCCGCGCATGTGCATTTCGGAGCTGAGTGGCGGACACTGGGGAGTCCGACGCTGGAGAAAGGTAAATGCTGAAGACACACACACACTCTCACGAACAGACGCATACACACTAGCTAACAGACACACACATTTACTGACAGAGTCACACTCAGCGACAGACATACATACACACTCACAAAACATACACTTTCACTGACAAACACACACTCACTAACAGACATCAAACACACTCAGTAACAGACACACACAGTAACACACTCACTAGCAGACACACACCCAATAACAGACACATTCACTGACACACACACTAACACACGCACTAACACACACACTGACACGCTAACACGCTAACACACTAACACACACACTAACACACACTCTAACACACACACACTAACACACACTCTAACACACACACACATACACTAACACACACTCTAACACACACATACACTAACACACACACTTTTTTTTTAAATTTAATCCCCCCAGCCTCCTTACCTTTTGGAGTGCTGGGGGGATTCCCTGGGGTCCAGTGGTGCTGCTGGGCTCCTGGGCGGCAGGTCACTGGGTGGGCGGGCTGCCTGGCCGGCCGGCGCGCGAGTGAGCACTCAGTGCTTCCTCTTCAGCTCCCTCGCGCGCCGCGTAGGGATGCCGGCGCCGGGAGATGACGTCATCTTCCGGCTCCGGCATCAGTGCGGTGCGCGAGGGAGCTGAAGAAGAAGCACTGAGTGCTCCCTCGCGCGCCCGCCTGCCCGACCGGCCACCCGCCCACCCGCTGGGGTCAGCAGGGCCAGCCTCGGGGGGCCCTGGGGTGGCCGCCTCCTGGGCCCCCCAGGGGAAGAGGCTGGCCCACTGTGTACATACCGGGTCGCAGGGGCGGCCGGGCCCCCTGGTGGGCCGGGCCCGGTCGCAGCCGCGACCCCTGCGACCCCTGCGACCCTGGTATGTACGCCACTGATTGTACAACATGTTTCGCGTAAAATTGCAGCATATGGTAATACTGTTACATGAACCTTTGGTACATAATAATGAATGACAGATCGCACACGGGTGTTGTTGAGGGTCTGTCGCTGAACTTCGCTGGTTTACTCTGTCTACTGCTTCATTTTATATTTTCAGTAGAGTAGGAAGTAGGAGAGGAAAAATAAGTGTTAGGGATAGAGATAGAAGTGAAGTTAAGATAAAACTGTTAGCTGTCCTGTTAGGTGGTGGGTCGAACCCTATTCATCCCCATGCTCTCTGGCGGTCGGATTATAAGATCTCCCCATTCGGATTCGCTATAAATCTCTGAAATATGAGATGCCACTTCCTCCCTGAGGGGCCCAGCATGCTTTCATCAGGGTTTATACAGTACAGGACGTGAAAGAAAGAAAAGAAAGGAAAGTTGCTGCATTTACTGGACATAGAATGTGTTGCCCTCTACCCCCTTCTCTTCATCTCGTAGTATGCCACCTTTTGTAGTGTCCAAGGTGAGGTCTCAGCTAGTGTTGAACAGATCCCAAACTTTGCTGAAAGTTGTGGTAGTATTCCGCACTTGGGCGGTTAACTTGTCTCTTAGGTAGTTGTCCCTGATTTTATTAGTGACTAGTGTGAGTGTAGGGGTCTCTAAATATGACCACTTATGTGCCAAGGCCCTTCGGGCTGCTAGGTATATCAAATTCAAGAGTTTTTGCTCATGCCTGGTTAGGCTCTCAGTCGGCCTTAAAGGATCACTATAGTGTCAGGAAAACAAAGCGGTTTTCCTGACAATATAGTGCCCTGAGGGTTAAAACCCCTTCAGCAGCTTACCTTATTCCAGCGCCAGGCTCCCTCGGCGCTGGTGACCTCTCCTCCCCGTCCAACGTCAGCTCCCCTGTCCAACGTCACTGGAGCTGAATGCGCATGCACAGCATGGACACTCTGCGCGATGGAGGCGAAATTCGCCTTTAGTGGCTGTCCGGAAGACAGCCACTAAAGGCTGGATTAATCCCAAATGTAAACATAGCAGTTTCTCTCACATGTTTACATGTGAAAGGTTAAAACCTGAGGGACCTGGCACCCAGACCACTTAATTGAGCTGAAGTGGTCTGGGTGACTATAGTGTCCCTTTAAGAGCAGACATGCCCGGGGTCTAGTTCTAGTCTCCGTTGCATAATTTGAGATCCCATCTCTATCACCTTTTGCCAGAAGGTCGCTATCACTGGACAGGACCACCAAATGTGGATTTAGGTCCCCTTGTTGGAACACTGATGCCAGCAGGCATCTGTGGGGATCAGTTTCATACGGTACTGCTTCGCCGGGGTGGTATACCACCGAAAAAGCATCTTGTAGGACTGTTCCTGGAGAGTTATGCCCATTGATATCTGCGTGCATGCCTCCCAGATGTCCTGCCAGTCTACCCCCTACAGGGTCTCCCCAAGATCGGCTTCCCATTGCTCTGTGTTGCGCAGAGGTCCCAGTCTTTGGACTCAGCACTGAGGTGTTCAGCAGGGTAATCAATCTGGTCTGTGATGTTTCTGTGAAACATAAGTGTTTAACCCCTTACGTACCAAACTTCTGGAATAAAAGGGAATCATGACATGTCACACATGTCATGTGTCCTTAAGGGGTTACAGGTGGTCATGTGTTTAGTGGCTACCCTCTCTATGTCTTTTTGTTTTGCAAAGTCCCGTATTTGCATGTAATGGAAGTAGTCTCGAGACTGAAGTGGTGTGATACTATTTAAGTGCTCGTATGTAACTAATTTCTTGTTGAGGTATAAGTGTACATATCTTTGAAGTCCCCCTTATAGTCCTTAGCTTGCATGCCCGATGGGAATGCTCTGTTTCGCAGTATTGGCGTAAGCGGGGAGGGGAGTTCTCCCAATGAGTATTTCTGCCTGGATTTGTCCCAAATTTGTATTGTGTTAAGTATAGCGGGGCAGGAGGTTTTCAAGATGTGCCTCTGACTCCTGGGGATCCATATATAGAATTGGGGTAGATCTAGACGTGTCATCTGGGACTCACTGTCTACCAATCATATTTTGTCTGGTGGTGAGTACCAGTGGATAAGTTGTGTCAGTTGTGCTGCCAGATAGTACAGATGTAAATTTGGACGGCCCAGTCCCACCCGCGTCTTAGGTCTATATAATAGGATGCATGCTAGTCTAGGGGGGTTTATTGTGCCAAATGAATGTGTCACTTTGACCTCTGTGTTCCCGCCAGGTCTCCCTTGGTGACCCCCACCAGTAATGCCTGGAATAAGAAGAGCAGTCTTGGGAGTATATTCATCTTAACAGTATGAATGCATCTCAGCCATGAGATCGATTTGTCCGTCCACTGCTCCAGTGCCCTGGTGAGGGTCTGGAAGAGGGGAGGGTGGAATAAAATGTGTAAACCTATGTGCATCCAAGAGTGTGGACTGTCTTACTACACACTTACTGAGAGCTAACAGTAAGCTCCTAAAGCTCCTTTGTCTGTCCACTGCTCCTGTTCCCTGGGGAGGGTCTGGAAGAGGGGAGGGTGGAATAAAATGTGTAAACCTATGTGCATCCAAGAGTGTGGACTGTCTTACTACACACTTACTGAGAGCTAACAGTAAGCTCCTAAAGCTCCCTCTGGACCATTCCCCATTAGACCAGGACAGTGAATACATATCCACTGTCGGGATTATATCGCCTATGCGATAAAAGTTGGTGCTACTATCACCTTTACACACTGTAAAGGCAATTCCATTTCTCCTTCTTTTTTTTTTTTTACTCTGTAACTTACATACTACATTATATTTTGCAATTTGTCCTCTGCTCATTACATTATGTCACACTGACCTGGACTTGAGGACTTTCTCCAAGGTGCTGCTCCCCTCCATCTACACAACAAGCATCATAAGACTCGCACTGTTCAATTCTCCCTGCAAGGTCAGCCCTCAGCAGGCCGGCTAAAATGGCCACTGAGGGATGGGTGCTAGTGATGGGTGCTAGTGATACAATTGCACCACTGGCCTAACCCATTTACCTCCCTCCCACCAGCATCCCGATTCTCAGGACACCGGTGTTGGGAGGTATGCCTAAAGAGTTATTCCAAAAGATTACTTTTGCTTTTTGAGGTGGTCATGGTGGTAGGTTGAAAGACTGAACATCCAGAGATATTTCTTTCCTGTGGTCCAGTGTGAGCAGGCTGACTTAAGGTGATGGGTGAGGCATTAGGCTTCCTCAGTATCCCTCATCTGTGTGTGCTGTCCCTCCTCCTCAACCTTTTCCCCACGCAGCTCTCTGTTAGCTTGCCGGGTTGAGGTGAAGCTGAACTCACTTCCTCTCAGCAGACCATGGATGAACAAGGCAACAGAGGCACGGTGCTCGGCTGTGGCCCGTGGGGAAACTTGGAGAGAGGGGCCCGGCTGCGGGTAAACAAAATGACAGGGGCCCGGCCGCTGGGAGACACAGAGATGGACCGGGCTGCAGGGGATCAATGTGGCAGGGGCCCGGCTGCAACCGGCATGGAAACACGGTAAAGGGACCAGTCTGGTGAAATATTAAAGGGCAGCGGGCCCCTGATTAAACTGTTGCAGGCTCAAGGGGCAGCTGCTTTGTGCTCCCAGGAATAAATGGGACCGGGGCAGCTGCCCCTTTTGTTTGCCCAAGTTGGACTCCTCGCAATTTATACACAGAATTGGCCTTAGGCAGCCCAACTCTGCCCCAGGATGCCTTAGGTCAATACTGTGTATAAATTTCATATGTCATCAGCAGGTCTGCCCTCAGAAATTTTGGGACCCCTGACAAAGCTTAAGGTCTGGGCCCCGCACCTGAGTCCGCTCACAGGGCTCTTCCTGAGTCCGCCCGCAAGGATGCAGTACTGAATGTGGTGTATATAGTGGATGTAGAATTAGAATGTGTGTAATGGACGCAGAGTGCGTCTTTAAAGTGGACGCAGAGTGTATAGTGGATGCAGAGTGAGTGGAAAATGGATGTAGTGTGTATAGTGGATGCAGATTTTACATTTGTGCAGTGGATGTAGTGTGTGTGTAATGGGTGTAGTTTTTGTGTGTAGTGTATGCAGTGTCTGTGTATAGTGAATGCAGAGTGTGTGTTTGGGTAGTGTATGCAGTGTCTGTGTATAGTGAATGCAGAGTGTGTGTTTGGGTAGTGTATGCAGCGTCTGTGTATAGTAAATGCAGAGTGCTTGAATATGTAGTGGATGTAGTGTGTGTACAGTAAATGCAGAGTGTGTGTACTGAGGAGCGGCAGGAAGCTTTGTCTGGTGCTGGATTAAGGTAAGTAAAACTTTATTTTAAGCATTTTTATTTTAAAGGGACACCATAGTCACCAGAACAACTACAGCTTATTGAATTTGTTCTGGTGAGTAGAATCATTACTTTCAGGCCTTTTGCTGTAAACACTGTCTTTTCAGAGAAAATGCAGTGTTTACATTACAGACTAGTGATAACTTCATTGGCCACTCATCAGATGGCTGTTAGAGATCCTTCCTTGGTCATGGCTGCCTAAAATGCATCCAAGCATTCAGTATCTCCTCCCTCTGCATGCAGACACTCAACTTTCCTCATAGAGATTCATTGATTCAATCCATCTCTATGAGGAGATGCTGATTGGCCAGGGCTGTGTTTGACTTGTGCTGGCTCTGCCCCTGATCTGCCTCTTTGTCAGTCTCAGCCAATCCTATGGGGAAGCATTGTGACTGGATCAGGCTACCACTTCAGCAGGCAGTGGGCAGGTCAAAAGGAAACAGGGACCAAGTAAGCAGCTCCATACTTGAATACAAGTAAGATTTGACTATATTTAGGGAGGCATGAGGGGGCCAGATTGTGGTTTTAACCCTATAGCAGGGGTACTCAAACTCCGGCCCCCCAGATGTTGCTGAACTACAACTCCCATGATTCTCTGGCTATCTATGTAATTCAAAGAATCATGGGAGTTGTAATTCAGCAACATCTGGGAGGCCAGAGTTTGAGGACCCCTGCCCTATAGGGTCAGGAATACATGTTTGTGTTCATGACCCTATAGTGCTCCTTTAAGCAGAATCTTTGAACGTTTTCGGAGTGGGAACTGATAGAGTAATACCAAAAGGGTATTATTCTAGCATCAGTGAAAAAGGGATTGGAAAAACCCTTTAACCCCTTGTCATGTCATGTGTCCTTAAGGGGTTAAAGCAACACTTTAGTATTAGTATTAGGAATACAAAGATGTATATGTAACACTAAAGTTTTGCTCTGCCCTCATTCATGAAAGGGTTAAAAAAAACTTTACACTTACCTGATTACAGCGCAATGACTCACTACTGTGCAACTGCAGGAAGTGCCTCTAGTGGCTGTCTGGTAGATTTTGTTCTTCTAAAACTGCAATGTTTTACACTGCAGCGCTAAGGGGGACAGGGACACTGCACCCCCTTAGTACTGCACCAAGAGTTATTCACTAAAGTGAGAATTCAAAGAAAATTTTGAATTTAAGGCCAAAGTAGCAAAACTGTAAGCTTAGCTTACAAAGAATGTTTTCAAATCGTCTATTTATACCTTGAATTTAAAATTCACTTTGAATTCTCACTTCAGTAAAAAATGAAATAAAAATAATGCCAGTGAATGCAAAGCAAGTATCACATTTTAGGTCACAATAGACTAGTTTTAAATCTCATGTTCAATTTATGTTGTCTTCCCAATAATTGACACTTCACTGAATAACCTTGGATGACATTTTATCAAGAATGCAGCGTACAGTAAGGTTCCATTGATAATCTTGTAAATAAATAGCGAGCATTCTATCTCTGACAAGGATGTAAAGCGAACACCTACATACACAGCTATCTTCTCTACTAATGGCAGCCTAGTTTCCATAGGAACTGAGGGAGGGAGATTGCAGTCCCAGGCTCCATGAGCTCATTCTCTGTCTGCCTCTCTAGAAGGAGTAGGGAGGGGCTGCTGCTCTCCTCCCTTTATCCCCAGCCATCCAGCCATCCTCAGCATCACCAGAAGCACATCTGCTGATGTGTGTGGCTCTTATAGTCAGCAGCAGGGGCAAACATGGATTCAGGATTCACACTGCTCTGCATTCATCCCTGCCAGACCTCAACATGGTGAGCCTGTACCTTCTTATTTACCGTGCCCTCTCCAGGGGAGGCCTTTTTAGACCTTGCCCTACCAATTAATGGAAATAATAGATTTAATGTGCTAAATATATGGCTGAGAGATGGAGAAGCTGCAGTGGTTATGGTTACCGATTGGGCTGGTACTGATAGGGTTTGATTATATATTTCTAGCTATAACCTTATGCTTAAAAATATATAGACATTATGTGGGTTTGGTTTGCTCAGTTATGGTTTTGTATACTAGATAGCTGCATAGGGATGGGCCTGATTTTCATTTGGAAGACATTACTCCAAATCTATGGAGAACATATTTTTACTTATTAAGTCACATGCAACAGTTTATAATTCTGTGGTTTTGTGTTTGATTTTTTTTTTAATGGTGTGAACATTTTGACTTTTGAAAATAAATATCAGGACCAAGCAAGAATCTGGTAAATCCCTAATGTTTAAAATGGCTGCAGTGATATCAGACCTGTAAATATTTTATAAGGACAATTTCAGGAGGTGCACTGTAGGTTTACACAAAACAGCTTTATTTATCAAAGAGATGGTGTTTGTTAAATGGCAAACAAAATGTGGTACCTTGTCTTATTTAGATGCTAATATTGCAGCAGGGCAATGGGCGATGGGATAATCGGTATTAATTAAGCTAATTAGATCTGTCTATCTTTCATGTTATTTTAGAATCCTTCCTACGCTCAACCAATTGACATTTTCTGTATTTCATCCATTTTAATGTAATTGGAGTAAGCAAAATGCAGTATGCCACAGAGAAAGCAAAGCCTTGCAAAAAAAATAAAAATAAAATGTAATATCTTAATGGACAAACATATATTATAATCACCCTATCATATAGTGCCACTGCTGCATTTCCATTGTAAATGCACAACATTTACTGTAATTCATTGATTTTCTGTGGTCTGTGTTTGCTGAATACTCTTCATAGATCAGGAAGAGAACACAAACCAATTTAACCTATAGAATACTAGAATGATGCTGAATTCAGGAGGAGCAAGGTTGGAAGGTTAAACATGCATGCTATAAGTTACTTAATTCATATATTTCTGGTTCTTCATTCACTAAATTAGGAATTATGGTGAATAGACAAGAGATTTGCAAATCTTAGACCAAATGACTCACAGAAAAGAAAAAAAAATATTCAACTCATCATTACTGTTTTGGGCCTAAAATTACCTTTTCAATCCTCTACAATTCCAGATGTCTTAAATAAGGCTCACTGTGTTGAAAAGGCCTGTTTTTAAGACAGTGTTTTGTTCCTATATTGAGAAGATGTGATTTTCCTAGGTGATTTGTTATGTATGCTATTAGTCTTGGCAGTCCTGCCTGTTTTGCTGCTCTGATTGAATTTGGCATCTTACCTACCAGTTAGTCTTCCTGTACAAGCAAATTTTTCTTAATTTTTCTTTTCTGTGTGACATCTGCATTGTTTCAGTACAGATTGCCCTTTCCATGTACAGCCTCTTCCACTGAGGCCCACGCTATGCAGTGTCTGCTCTTGCTAGCAGTTATGACATTAATCCCATTGTAAAGGCATTCCCACATGATTGCTCATTCAATGAAAAATACTTTCTAATCCTTAAATTGGTTTGATGATTGGTTTAATGCTTTTAAGTCGGTTGTCATATTACACTGTATATTTTGCATATTTTGTTTCTTTACTGAAAAATTAGCCAAGCTATGTAGTTATATCAGTAATGTTTGCTGGTGTTGTAACTCATGCTACTACGTCAAAATGACCTGCTCGTCCTTATTTTGGCTCTCAATACAATATCATTTTTTTAAATTTCTCTTCGGTGTTTAAGAGGATAGCATGTTAACAAAAGTACAATGTGTTTTGTTTTTTCCATAAATTGAGTTATAAATTGTGCAGAATTCACAAATCAAATGCAAATTGTAGGACATAATAGTACAGATAAATAATGTTAGAAAATTGACAATTTGGCCTTAAATATGTGGTTTCCTTGTAAATTCTGTATGATTTCCAGTTAAATGATTAATAACTGGCATGAGCTTTAACACTTAAAGGGACTCTGTCCCTTCTGGGGTCTTTGCATATTTTGCAAAGATCTTCAATGATGACATGGTCTCGTGGGGAGAAGTGGCCGTGGAGTGCAGTTTTACTTACCTGAATCTGTTCCTTGCAGACACAGTCTTCTTCCATGGAATCTGCTTCAGATCCTGGGCCTTTAACAGCCAGGAACCCGCGTCGCACATGCACAACACTCATGTCTATGGAGGGTTCCGAGAGAATGTAGGGACTCTATAGACAAAGCCTTTTTCCCTACAGCTGTCACTAGTGATGACTGGAGGTTTGACAGTAGTATCTCCACCTTTTTGTCAAACTTTGTCAAGTGTAGGAAAAATACATTTTTAAAAGTAGTCGTTACTTTGTC